GCGTGTGTGCGTGCGTGTATGTGCGTGCGTGTATGTGCGTGTGTGTGTATGTGCGTGCGTGTGTGTATGTGCGTGCGTGTGTGTATGTGCGCGCGCGCGCGCGTGTGTGTGTGTGTGTGTGTGTGTGTGTCAGTAATAGAAACCATATCATTGTGATCCATTTAATAGTCATGAGAGCTCAATATTGCTGAGTCTAATAAAGAAAAACGTGAAATTGAAAATTTTCGTATGCAGGCACTCGAGCGTTTTACGTCTATTAAGAATTCCTTCGCACTTAAGCTTTTAATTGACGTTGTAGATATGTAAGTCGTCTTTTTTATTATTTTATTTATTGCTTCTTAAACCATATTTAAAACAGAATAACCAGAGTAGCATATTGTTCAATCTTTTTCTACAATTAATTGAAATCGAAAACTTAATTTTTAACCATCTCCATACTGCAATTGAAATTTTTTTATAATTTAGCTCGCGGATGGCAAATATTTCCAACGTTATGTGGAACTTTAAAGAAAATTCAATACATTATAATTCATAACTAATACGATTCAAAAGGTATTATTTGTTATAAGTATTAATTGTTGCACGGGGTTGCCGTGAAGGTAAAATTTTTACTCGGAATATAACTTTCCCATATTGAATATTAATATTTCTAAACCGCTATAAAATGCAATGATTTTTGTATACACGGTAAGTCTATGAGTGTGGATAATAAATTACAAATACAATCAGTTAATTGATCGATTCTTAAACGGAGATACAACGAAAATTACTTCAATAAGGAAAAAAGAAATAATTTCCAAATGAGCTCCGGTTATTCCGTTATAGAAGTACGAATCCCTTAAAAAGAACTTTATTTTATGTACAAAATTTTTTTATCCTCTCGTACATGTTTGCGTATATATAGATGGGTGTGGGTGTGGGCGTGGATGAGCGTGTAAGTGTATGTGCTAATGTGTGTGAGCGCGTGTGTGTAATTTTATTTCTTTTGCTCTTTAATTAAGTACTATTAACCTCCCTTAAATTCTCCTTAAAACAACCACTCTGTCTTTCCTATAAAAAAAAAAAAGAAGAGCAAAGCCCTTTAATCAATCCACTTAATCTCAAGTAGTTTCCTCCCTCTCTACGCTCTTCTCTTTTCTTTAAAAGCGTTCTGATTCGACCATCGCCGCGCACGTCGGTTACTGCAATTACAACCAGTCCGGCTTCCTGCGCGCAGCACGCGACTCCGGAATGGATTCTTTTCTTCTCGCTCGGCTACCCAAGGAGAGCTCAACCTGGCATTCTTATGCATACGGGTGTACGTAAAATAATCTCACCAGCTGAAAAAAGCCACGCGAGTTGCTTTACTTGTTTCCGCGAAACTTTGTTTTGGTGGTGACTTACTTTGGGCGGTAGTTGGCGAGCGGCGCCAAGGCACGTCGAAATGAATCCATCCTCCTCTACGAGGTTCGCTTAATGCCGCACAACTCTTTGCATAAATTATTAAATTTTTTATATTGCCAAGGAAAGTGAAGTGTCACCTTTGAACGATGCTACACGGCATGAGAATAATATTCTCTTTTTAACGGCAATAAAGCTGTTTGGGAGTAGGAATATTTTGCAAGGAATAAATTTAAATGCTTATGGCATAATTCGTGTTAAATATTTCACGTACAATTTTTTCTATGAATAAAATTTTGAGAACACTTTTGTTGGATATAATTTTATTTATAATTGACACTGTATTTGCTTATAAGCTTAACGGGAAATTCAATTTTGCAATAAAATTGATTTTATTTCGGCAGAAAATTATCAATTTTCTATAAAAAATCTTATCAATTTGTCTGTTATATTAATGGTATTGAAAAAAAGATTTTTTATTATTAATTTTGTTCCAAGATTAATTACAAAAATACCATTACATCCATAAAAGCAAATTTATTACGTCGAGTATATAAATTATAAATACTTGTTGTTTACTAAATCGTTGTTTACTGTTAATTTACTACAAATTACGAAACAAGCCTTCGTTATCTATTCACTTTTTAAAAATAATAATAATACATAATAATTTGTTTTCTCATTAAATGATAATCGAATCAGAGCGCTCGAATTCACACTATCTAACTTGCCTTTTACCTTTCTTCATTATTTATGAATTATTACGTTACGTTATAAATATTTAATATCTAGCCAGCCGCATAAGTGTCTAATGTTTAACCGAATGTAATGTTAGAGCAGCGAATATCTTTTGTTTTCTGTGTTCTTGTGATTTCTCCTACTCCCAATGCATCCATGGCCAAGTTGGATACACAATGCGCGATATTCGGTACAAATGGAATTCTGGCCTACAATCGGTCGGCATCTCGAGCGAGGTGGAACTGCCGCAGTTTCGCGTGCTCGGGCACAGGCAACGTCAGACAACCATACATCTCTCTACAGGTAGATATCTCTCTCTCTCTCTCTCTCTCTCTCACTCTCTCACTCTCTATCTCTATCTCTATCTCTGTCTCTCTCTATCTCTATCTCCATCTCTGTCTCTCTCTATCTATCTAACTGTCTATTTATCTATCTATCTATCCATCTACCTAACTGTCTATTTATCTATCTATCTCTATATCTTTATATCTATCATGGATCCAAACGATATCTTGATCGCTATCTCTCTCTTCCTCGATCTTTGCCATTCGTACTCTAAATCTTTACACTCACTATCTATCATGTTAATTTTTTTTTTCTTGTTCATTTCTTCATTTGCAATAATCCCTGTCAGTCTACTTATCTGTCTGTCTGTCTATCTATATATCTCTCTCACTCTCTCTCTCTTTCCATCTCTTAATCTTTGATTTTTATTGACTCTATATCAATACATTATGAAAATAAGTGACAATACACATAATGTACAGACTGACCGATTGGCCTATGGTCTAACATTATATTGACATCCACTACTTATATTTTGACATTTCCAATAAAGAATTTATCATACTATTTGTGTATAAATTAAGTGAACTTTATGATAATTTTAAGTAAGCTAATTACAAATATAGGATAAAAATTTTACACATAGTTCGAGCAAATGATTTATATTTTATAATAAGCTAGATTATAATCCATTTATATCTCTCTTGCATCCATACCCAATTTTTAATACTAAAATTCTAAAATCAATTACTCTTTAACATTAATTTCTATAATCCTTTATCCTTGAAAAACAATGAAAGAGTAAATTTCATGATTGTCCTTTTCCAATTTAATACTAAACGCCATCAATATGGAAATGTCAAATAATAATTTAAATAAGGCGGCCATTGTAAATGAAGATCATATTAAATAAACGACAAAGAAAAAGATATCTTATAAATTACAATTGTAATGAAAAATGTCGAGAATATCAAAAATCTTTCTTTTCTTGTAATATTACATCACTTTTAAGTAAAAATCATAATGAATTTCTCATAATAAATTACTTTTGTATTTCCGACACTACAATAAAACAAAAACTTTTAAATATAAACTCTGCTTTTAAGAATCTAATAGAACGGTATGTCAAAAAATATATAAGCTTAACATATTCGATAAAACAAACTGACATCTTCTGACAATCTCATTAATGTCAAACTAGTAGAGAATAATTATAAATATTATGTTGCATAATCTCGTTGCTTTATTTTTCAAGAAAATATAAAAGACAAATTTAAATATTTTAGACTGTTTCTTTAATACTTCATAAATACATGTATCCACGTTTAAAATGAAAGCTCAATCTTGAAAATAACAAATATTATATGCTTATATTAACAAAATATTGATTTTAAATTATCTTTTTTTTCATTAAAAATTAATTTTAAAATAATTGACAAATAAAGCTTACGTATACTTACTTAAATATTACTTTTGAACCAATGATAAATTTATTACATTATCTATTAATTTATAAATGTATATATATATATACATATATATTTATAGTTATCTGCATTTATAAGTGTAAAAAAATATTAATATTTAATATTAACTTTATATTTTAAACTTTGCATTCTACAGTTTTAGTAAAATAATTTTTGTTATTAATAGCAAATAATATCAACTTAAACTTTACAAAACATTTGCTTAAATTTTGACGTAAATTTTTTTTTTTAATTTTAATATGCCGGTCCTTGTATAGAATTAAAGTCGCATTCTAAATATGTACTTATGAGGCAATATTTATATTTTTAATTTAATTTATTTGTTAAAATCGTGAAGCTGTAATTGAATATAAAGTTTTTGGTTGTGTATGAAATTACTCGAAACTCGACTACAAACAAGCACTTTTGATGTTTCTACACATCCACACAGGAATTAATTTTTACTTTGTTGTTCTTCGCATCTATTTTTCTTTGAATTTTAAAAATATGTACTATAATGAGGAAATAGGATCCTTAATGCTCTACGTCTTGTCTTGGATTTCATCACCTCTTCTATTATACTTCTTTCTCTTTATTTATTTTCTACTTTTCTTGTGCATTATTTTCTACTCTCTCTCTCTCTCTCTCTCTCTCTCTCTCTCTCTCTCTCTGTTTGTCTCTCAATCTCTCTCTTTAAAACGCCATGGAACCAGAGCTCGAACAGCATCATCAAATATAAAATAAAGAGACAGAGCTTACATTATTAACAAACTGTAAAGTATAATCAAACTGATAAACACAAACAAAAAAAGAAATAAAGAAAATAGGAAAAAAGAAGTTTCAGCGAAAAATGAGTAGAAGATAAATAAATTAAAATGATAATAACGAATAAAAGTGCAATGTAGTAAGAGGGGAATACCTCTATAACGATAATGAACGAACGTAAGATAGAGCAAGTGAATTAGAAAGAGGTCACGGTCACATATTACAAGTCATAATATATTAGAAAATAACGATATAAGTGAAAGAGAGAAGGTAAGTGGAGGCCCCCGAGGGAGCGAATACTTCCCGCGTATCGTAAAGAGATACGTATATGAAATCGCAAGCGGGGGTCTCTTTGTCATTTTCCAGTCGGCTACACCATGAGAGACATCCGCTACAAATGGAACGAGGGCCTGACCAGCGTCGGCGTAAGCAACGACGTCAGTCTCCCGCAATTCAAGGTCCTTGGCCATCGGCAGCGTGCCATGGAGATTAGTCTGACCACTGGTAATGTATCCCCCGACGCATAAAATACAAACTTTGTAGGGAAGGAAATGAGAAAAGGGGGAAAAGTGCGATGGCCAGAGGTAGTTGGAAAGATACGCTGGACTCTCGAGCTTCTGTCTCTGTACTGATCACCTTTGTCCTGTCTACAATTTTTATTGATTCATCATTATGGATTTTTTACCTCTACTCCTACGGCTTTTTTTTCTTCCTTTATATGAAAATAATAATTATATATTTCAATTAATTGTGATGAAAAAATGTTTTTCATTAAAGGCTTCATACTGCTTATTTATACAGGACTAATGAGAGAAATTTTGACTATTTCAATTATTAAGAAACGCAAAGGTAAGTTCTATAATATATAATATAAAAATAATTATTTAAATGAAAATTAACTTAATCAAATGCTCTTTTAATGTCGAAAAGAATTAACAAATATTATCCAGACGACTTAAATTCCACTAGCAGATTTATTTTCCATTATTATTATTATTATTATTATTATTATTATTATTATTATTATTATTATTATTATTATTATTATTATTATTATTATTATTATTATCATTATTATCATTATTATCATTATTATCATTATTATCATTATTATCGCCGGTGTTATTATTGTTATCATCATCGTCATTATCATGTTGCAATCGACGATATGTATCTCGATATATGAATATTAAATATTATTTACGTGGTGCGAATGATTAGCATTTTAAATAATGCTTAAAATAATGCGAGACCAGTATATTATGTCTCATTACTCATAGTATAATCCAAATATATTTTCCAATGTACATTGATAAAACGCAATGAAATATATTTTCATTTTGACAAATTATTAAAAATTATTACTTTTTTCTTTTTTTTTCGTTTAAAAATGAATACCAATGACTCGTTAAATAGCAAAAAATAAACGAAAATAGAAACTTACTGGTTCGCAAGATATATTTAATCTTACATTCATTAATCATTTTCCATAACAGTAAGAAATTCAGTCCAATTTATGAACTAGAAAATTTATAAACTTATATGAATAATCAATAAAAATGTTAAAATTTAAAACTACAGAAAATAATAAAATATTCAGTGTATAATTGCGATTTGGAAAATTTAAATTTTATTAAAAGAAGTACAATGAATTAAAGTTATTGAACTTTAAAAATAGATTAAATTATATTAATAATATAAAATGCTAATAATCATAATGATGAGAATGAGAAAAGATGAGAATGTTTCCAACGTGTATACCAATGCTTAAAACGAACATCTAATTTTCGTAAATAATAATAGTTCACTTACATTAGTAACAGCCCAAAGTAAAAAAGAAATTAAAAATATGGAGCCGCATCACACTAGACCTCATATGTCTGTACATGATTATATAATAAACTCTGTGTGCGTATATGTATATTTATAATAATACATACGTATGTACCTTTGTGAATGACGCGATGCACCTCTAAGCAAAAATAGTTTTCTCAATTCCATGTGTTTATCCTGTAAAATGTAATGCAAGATTCATGAGCTTGAATCCCAGATAACTTTGGAAAACATGGAGGGAAAAATTTACGTATGTATGAGAGCCAATTTTCAAACGTACGACGTATCCGCAGTATCGTCGACACCGAAAATGAGAACAAACTTTGGTGAAAATAAAAAACTAAGGAACATAAAAAAGTTTCAACCATCTACAAATAGAAGAAATGGGTATACCAGAAAATCTAGAGAGAGAGAGAGAGAGAGAGAGAGGGGAACAGTGCTTTATGTAAGAGAATTAAAATTAGGAACAAATTTATGTGGTCAACGGACAATCTACACTTAAGGATCTGTCAAAGCACAAAAGTAAAATAACTATTATGAAGGAATTGATTTATTTTCGCGTGTTCGCCTCTCCCTTACTCCGCCATACTTTGATCCATGAGGTACTTCCATTTTCTTATACTAGCCGCTCGATCCACTCGATCTGCTACGTCTTCGTTTTCACTATATCTCTCCCTCTACCTTACGGTCTCTCTCACTCTCAGTCTCTCTCTCTCTCTCTCTCTCTCTCTCTGATCTCTCCTGGTCATACTATAACATCATATGCAACAAGTATTTTTAACAATTGCGTTAAATACGTTTCTCCATAAATTTTCTTAACTAAATATTGATCATTAAAAAACAGAATTCCATAAAGCTTTGGAATTATAATTAATAGACTTTACTTGACATTTTCATACTTTAAAATACCATTATCTAATATAATATCTGTATTATAATCAAGAAAATATTGTATTAAAATTAATTTATATATTTAATTTAATCTTTTTCATTGATTTACATAGTCATAAATAGTAACTAGAATGAAACAAATATAGATTCTGCTTATAAGATGAATAATTTATGTTTAAAAATATAGATATAGAAATAAAAACACTTGATAAAATACAATTAAATTATAATTATTTGATGAATTTTGGCTTATCTATGTGAATGAAAAGTTTTAAAAATAACGTTAAAAATTCCAATTTTTATATTGAATAATATATAAAGTACTTCATACTTTTGAAAGTCAACTGAATTTATAACGCAAATGTATTTATTTATATCTGCAACAGTGAAAAATTTAACAAACTTTTAGCCTACTTCTAAAATGAAAGGTACGTCACTTTCATATTGACTATCATCAAAATAGATTTACATTTGAAACGTTTTGTTAACTTTCTAAATAATCTATATCGTACAAAATATTCAATATCTGAAAAAATAATATCTCAAATATTTATATATGAGCGTACACATACCGTAATTCAATTTCTTTCATTATAATATCGCCAGAACTAAAATCTTCCTTCATTACAATTGTTCCCTTTAGCCTTCTTCTATTTAAATATATTAATCGTGTGATCTACTTCTTCATTATATATTAATTACTATCTACACTTACTTTTCTAATTACACATTCGCAGATTCCATCAATGTATACATATTAAAGCAAATATGAGAAATATTTGCCAATACATATTTTTTGCCTGATTTCATTCCATATTCAAACAATAGTAATTTAACGATTAAATCTATATTTTAACTGAAATTATAATAAAGTTAATTATCATTTTCACATTGTATAACATGAAAAGTCATTTAAATAATACAATTATGTTCACAATATTAACATTAAATAAAGATAATCATTAGTTAATAGAGATATTAATACAACTATAGTAGATATAAATTCCTCAAACATATAATAAATTCTCAAATATATAATAAATTTCCATGTATTGGCAGTAAAACTAAAGAAAATAAATATAATTATTAGAAAAAGAGAGAAAGAAATTAGATGAACATTAATGTATTGGATTTTAGTTGTGAGTGCACACTCTCTTGTCCAATACCAATAATTAATTATCATTAGTTATTGTATTCGTATCGAATAAGTTATTGTCGACACATGACATTTGTTGTAACTTGTTCGTATAATTTTTCATTAAATTTTTTCACATTTTCTCTTTTCTATATAATATTATAATTAACAGTATGATTAATTGAACTAGTAGTAACCAATTTTGAACCAATCATACACATTGATATTATATAAAAATATAGATACAAAGGAATTTCAAAATAAGAATCAATTGATAATATCATCAAGATATAAATTACTTTGTGCATTATAAATTTTGATAATTACGTTAATAATTTCTGCAGATATTTTTCAATGCGGAATCTTACTTAAAATATTAAAAAGACTTGGAGATAATCAAAATTAGACAGTTTAAAAAAAAAAACAGTTCTAAAAGTTCCAATTTTTAATGCAACAAATTATTATTCACGTTATTCAACAGTATAACTATTGTTGTATCTCAACATTCTATCTGAAATTCGTTTCATTTACTAAAACCAAAATTACATTTTATAAATTAACCATATTTATTGAATTACAGATAATAGAAAATTAAGTAACATTTACAATTTTATTTTTTTTTTTATTTTTAATTTAAATTGGAAAGGTACTTCTTCAAAACTTCTCGTGATTAAGTACCCCTCTCCCCCTCAATATTTTCATAACTAATCAATTAAGAGAGAATAAGATCCTTAATTAGCAACCGCAATTGGTCTTTGATCGACGTAAAATGTCAATTTTTTTCAATGCGTTCATCGTTTAAGCACACAAATACGTAAAATCACTGGCACGATATAAGAAAAAAATATTGATGTATTGTCTAATTAATATTGTAACAAATTTTCTAATTATAAATTGTAAAATACATAAATTAATATTAACAACTATATTGGTTAATAAAAGATATTATGCGTAAATACTAAAAGAATCTTATCTGAGAGTTTGGAATTTTTGTATTTATGAGTTTCTTTTTTAATTTACCTTTGCATAAACATAATATTATCTTTGTTCTTTTATTAATTATATTTTTAATAAAAATTATTAAAAAATACGTACTGTATTATGATTGATCATTTTATTGTCTTAAAAATAATTCGTTAAAATAATATCATAACGTAACCTGAATTAGCATAATCGTTGAAATATTTATATTGATAATTATGCGTAATGTACAGCTTATATATATATATATATATATATATATAACTTAAATCATAACGAAGATAAATACATAATTTATCAAATTTTTTATCATTAAATTTAATCTCGATCATTTTGAAATTATTATTGCACTCCGGTAGATTAAACAATTGCATTTGAAAAAGTATAATTGAAGGAAAAGAGTGTCATTTTTTAAATAAATACTTAAGCATAAATGTTTCTAGTTGAAAAGATATATAATTTTCATAAATGTATCATTAAGTATGAAAAACAAATAACAATTATTCCATAATGCATATACTATCGTATTTAAATACAAAAATTAATATTACTCCTAAAATCTATGGTTGATTAATTTTTCCATCAAACGAAATTGCAACAGACCTTAAAAATCTTATATTCTTCGAGGCAAAAAGAACGAAGACAATTACAAGTGAAAAGATCA